ATATATATATATATATATATATCCATGCATGTTTGCTGGCGGTTGAAAGCGGCGTAAGAAACTTTCGTGCGCGATCTGGAGGGTTTCAAAACATTAGGAACACAAAACCACCCCCTGTAACATCCATTAAACGGAGATCAATTTAAGCTCTTCGCCTTTCCCTCTATCCCCTCTCATTCCTACCAACCAAAAACAAATCGTCTCGAGAAAACTCAAATTTGCGCTACCCCCGCTCGCACGAAATCATCCAACTAACGGAAAACTATTTCGAATGCACAAGACTCGTTTATAACGAAACTTCATTAATTAAAGGAAAGGCGCAAAGTGCGCGGGTGATTCGTCGATTGAAACAGAAATAACAATCGTACATATTTGGACTGATTATCTGACGTTCCATAATTATTATAATTATTACAACCCATTCAACCCCAACAATTACTACATCAGCTTTCAACATAATCATCAAAACTATTTAAATTTTTCTTTAATACATTTCCCTATACACAATTACTTTACATTAGTTGCTATCAAAACGCATAGATTTTCAAACACAAATTTGCCCATATAAGGATTGCTTAAACGTTTGCAGCTAACTTGCCGCAATCCTTTCTAAATAGTTTTAATTTAGCGTAGGTATAAAACACGATTCTGATAAAACACAGGTTTTACTCTAAGCCAGGGATTCCCAAATTATGTTCCGCGAAAGTTAATAGGTGTTCCGTGAAAACTAGGAATAAAATAATTATTAAATAAATAATGAACGTTTTTTTCCAAATTAAATATATATTGTATTTTTCTGTAACCAAATTCGGTGTGCATTGAATAATATTTAAGTAATTATTTATTTCGCAAATTGAGTCTTTTAATAAAATTTTCATTAATATTGATTCTGTTGGCTTCATTTTACTAATTTGTGCATAAATGTAAAACTTTGTAATCAATTGATATATGCAATGTTGGTATATATGAATTTTGGCGCCTAACTTAGTGTATTAGATTAAGTATGATGTTTTAAACTATCGGTTTTGCTTTCTGCTGCAGTTGCATAACTGTGGGTTTATGTTTAGAAGTTTATACAATTAAGCAGTTTCCGTTTCGAAACAATATCCGAACTTTCTGGATAGACGCAAATCGCATTCTTCACGTCTCGAGCGCGCAACGTTATTCTTTGGGGACCTCGTCTTCCACGCCATTTGCACCGAATATCAATTAGGGAGCGCCAAATTGGCGCCTCATTTTCTCCCCAACTTCGCCGTGTGCAACGAACACCCATTGTCCATTCAACAAAGATCGCTGTAACTTGGCGCCGCCCAATTAAAAGCATTCGCTTCTTGCATATTATTATAAAGTCCTCTTTCAACTAATTCTCTTTCTCTATCGTCCGGCGAGCGTCTCTACTAATCCTTCGTTCGTGGGCGGAGGAATGAAATATCAGAGATACGAAACCGAAATTCCTGCTGCCGTTCTTTTGGCCCCGTTCCAAGTGGGTCCTCTTGGGGCCGCGGGACAAATTCTGTTATTCCGGAAAAAGCCGATACTAGAATCAGCACCAGCATCATCTCTTTCGCGTTTCTCATTCTATTTACAAACTCGCATTTCGCGCGGACTTAATCGCGGGAGAAAGGAGGAAACGCGGTGGAAAAGAAAATTTACGACACTTGGATTTACTAGGAGAGACGAAGACTACGCGTAAAGAAAACAAAAAGAGACGGAATGAAGGGAATTGAGCAGCTGGGAGGACGAAACAAAAGCTTATCTCCCTCAACTTTTATTCGGCTTTTGACGTTTCGAATTCACTTCGTCCCTTCTATTTACTTATTTATTTAACACACATGCTGTGCTGTACAAAATAAATCTTTACAAATAATGGAAAACATATTTTTGTAAAAATACAATAAATTTTACAAAATCAATAATTTAACACTTAGCGCTGCTAACATCAAATGTGTAAATGACATAACCTCAATAGGATAAAAATGGGGTAAAATCAAAAAACTTCATTTATGATTAAAACTGTAACAACAGTGAAATCAAATAACCAAATATAATTCATATTATTGAATGTAGAATCAAAAATAGAAGAATGTCAAAGGCATTTGCAATTTATCAAGTCACCAAGAAAATAGAATCGAGTCATAAATATCAAAAAATTTGACGTTTCCAATGTTTTTTTAATTTGACATTTTCCTCATGTCATATATTTTTTTAGATAGTGCATTTATTTTGTGGACTTACCGAATCATCGTCAAAGTTGCGAACCAGATGAGAATTGGAAACGACGGTGGTCCGGCTCTTCTGTCTGCACGCGTTGTTCCGTTTCAACTTGGCGCAGCCACTTCCGGCAGACCGGAAGCTGCCATTCGCGTACGGCCGCTGTTTTCCATCATCCGAACTGACGCTCTGCGGTCTTCTGCGACTGAAACATAAACGCATCACATTTAGCATTCTCGACTACCAATTAAATGCGGCCATACAACTGGATGAAATAGGAAACGCAGAGGAAAACGACAATTTTGAAATATAACTATTCATATTTGATTTCTCTGGCAATAGCTATGTTTTCCATCATAAATTATAATGCTGATGATAATTTCCGTAACTCAACGTAAGCAAACGCAGACGTTAACTTATGTACTTAATTAAGTTAGGGTAAGTTAACCTTACCTAACTACTATATTAATTTAGATAATCTATCTTAACCTAACTTAATGAACCTAATCTAAAAGTAGTGTAAACGTATCATCGAGTTTGTAAAATGAACAAGTTTCGAAATATTTATTTACTCCAAATCTCACTCTGGTAGTATTTGCGGATTTGCCAATTGCGGCCGAAATAATGATGTTGTTATTAGCTACGTATGGTAACTATGGGCACTCTTCCAAAGGATCCAATTAAACAGCGATCGCAGTCAATACAATTTGATAGAAACAATTGTGATCACAAAATTTACCACCCCAAATTGAAAACAAAACAAGGGAAGTACAGTAGATCCTTGTTTAACGAGCATAATCTGTAAAGCGAAACAAATATAAACCTATATAAATTAATGTAAAATACAATAATGCTGAAAATAATACTCAAAAAAATATGTATACAGTGGAAAAATATTGCAATTTTCCAATATTTTTCCACTGTATTCAATACAAGAAAAAATGGAATATACGGAAATTTTGGAATATATTATGCTCGAGGTTCTACTGTACAGTGGAACCTCGGTTAACGAGTTTAATCCGTTTCAAAATTTCTTAATTAATTTTGCTCGTTAAGCGAGGTTCCACTGTATTTGGTTTTTATAATTATATCTTTGCGGGCCGGTATTTCCAACTAACTAATTAATCCGCTGTTGCCGAATGTGTATTTTATATAATTAGAAAGACGCCATCTGTGATTTTAAAATGATAATTATATTTGACATATTTCGTGAATCCAAACCTATTAAAACAAATATATTCGGTAGCTGGCGAAATTGTGCTTGACGTAAGCTAAGTGAAGGGAGTGGAGGGTTAATAAAAGAAGAAGAAGAAAACAAATATAGGTTGATAAGCACCAAAAAGAATCATAAATAATGCCGTAATTATTAAAAGAGAAGAAAGATATGTTAAACTCCAATATCCATTTTTTTTTAAGAGGATGTGATTGTGATTAAATCAAAATATTTGTTATTATGTTTAATTATTAAAACGGCATCTGTGATCTAAAAACAAAATGCTAAATTATGAAAATTAAATAACGTTTCTAAATATTGTTGCTTGTAAGTTAACAGTCTTAATTAGAGCAAAAGAGATGGCAACGTTAAAGAAAAAAAGTGGTACTCGCATCGCACTGAAATATTCAGTACGGATGTGAAGGGATGTAGGAGCAGAAGGGCCACTTGAGATCGAGATGAAAGCACAAATATTTGCGCAGAGTCGGCACAAAGGAAGGAAGAGATGGAGAAAAAGAGGATCCAACTCCTCTTGTATGAGAGGTGCGGTAAAAAAAGTATATATGTAAATGGATATAATACGAGAAAGCTTCGTTTAATCTGCGTCTAGGCTTTATAAATGTCTTCATGCGAAGAGCATTTCACATTCCACAAACGAACGAACGTCTTGTCTCTCCTCTCTATCTCTCTACTCTTTTTTTGTTCACGCCACCTTCGATGCCTGAAAAACGAGGAAACGAGGAGCAGATGCGACCGCAAAAACTTTCTTCCGAAATCATCCCCCTACCCCAAAAACCCACATCGCGGATAAACTTTTCCGGCGTATGAAAATCTTTCGCAATCTCTTAGCGTTATTAAAATAAAACAACGGATGGAAAGGTGGGGCAGTGTGCACTTGCAGAAACAAACGCGAAACTCGGATGGAAACTCAAAACAAAATTTACATGAGATATGCATCAGGACTGCATTGTCTGGGAACGAGCGAGCCGGACACGCGAACGCCGCAACTGACGTAACAATTACATGACCGTTTGGGAACTTTGACATCTCTGTAGAATAAAAATATTTCAGGCATTAACAATTTCTTTTCTGAGCTTATACAGGGATGGATCGGTGTCTAAATCGAAATAAAAGATGTCGCTGCAAACGTGACATATTGTATTATAAAAAACAGAGAATCATTTTCTATTTTTGCCCTGAGTTTATAGTGCCTTATTTCCATTTGATCAAGTGTTGTTTACTAGCGAAATTATGCAAAGCACAGGCTATGTGAAGTATGTAGAAGTGTAAATAAAAAGAATAAGAAGAGAGCTATCTGTTAAACAATTATACAACATTATTTGTATCACGAAAGCAAATCCATTTTTTCAAAAATACTGATGTTATTACAGAAGTAAATTTAGATTGGGATAATAATCCAGTAAACGATTTGCTACTATCAGAATGACAGTATAGTTGTTAATGCCAAAACGACGTTTGCAGTTGTTGTTGTTTTTTTAAATTGTAATTATGGGTAAGAGTTATAGGAAGCCAAAGCTTCATGACACGTTCGGAATAACCGTGGCCGAGAAGAAACTCTTCATGAAAACGTGGGAAATCCTTCGACTGAATCCCGGTTACTACAGCGTCACTCTGTTTCTGATCTTTTTCGATCGCTTTCCCGAGCACCAGTCCTATTACAAAAGATTCAAATTCGATGAAATCCCCGACCTGAAGGCTTTCCCCGATCTGACGCTACACGGACTGAAGGTGATGAGGCAGTTCTCGTCTATCGCGGATTACATAGATAAGCCGGAGATGCTCGTGCAGATTCTGTACAATCACACCATGAATCACACAAAGAGGCACATCACGACTGCAGCATACAGCGATTTCCGCATTTGCATCCTGCAGTTCCTGACTACAAAGCTGAACGTGTCCGGCGAAGTTCTGCAGGCTTGGAACAAGGTCTTGATAACCCTGTTCAAGATTATCACGGATATGAATAAGGAGATGCAGCTGGACGTCCTCGGCGACAGGGATTGGCATGTCGGGAATTTAATTTAATTTAATTTATTTAAAAGAAAAATGTGTGTTTATCAATTATAAATGATTAAAAATCGATTTTAAAATATATTCAAATTTGATTTTACATTTTGATAAATTAACACCATTCATTTCTTATGTAGAAAATGTTTTCTGTTTTTCATTAAATTCTGTTTTCGAACAAACTTTTGTATCGAAAACCGAAACCAACCGAAACGTACTATAAACTAATCAGACAATTACAACAGTAGCTAATACACAATATAACAAACTTTTTGAATAGCAAATAATAAAGTAGGGTACTAATATAATTTACTGTAAATACTTATTTTTGTCTTGGAAACGAAAATTTTAGATGCAATTATCAGATGCACGTGAATCGTCCACACGATATATTTATATTGCTTGAATTTAATTCCATTTAATTCACGGTCGCCCAGAAATGTGTTTAGGCATATTTCATGAACGCCGTCGTTTATATCCGGCGCCGGAAATTTACGGTCCCGAACGAAAGTAAAATAAAATATATTGCCGACCTCCCGGAGTCCTTTTTTTTTTCTTTTTCGAATGAATGTGGACGTGTTCTCGAGTTCTGAAAGGAAAGAGTGAAACGGATCAAGCCACCTTCTCTCAATATATATTTACACACACACGTATGCACATAAGCATATATATATGTATGTGTGTGTGGCTGTGTGTGCGGGTGGCGGCAGGTTCCGCCGTTTCCATTTCCGGTTACAAATTGGCGCGCATTCAATCTCAAGTCAAACGGGTGCATGGAGAAAAGAGAATAGAAAGAAATGTATATATTACGAGTAGAGTCGACGGATTTGCGAAATCCAGGGTAAACAAAAAAAAAGTGCACGCGAACAAAATGCAAACGACTATTACATATTCACTTTTTTCTGTATGTTATTTTTTTATCTCCTTGCGTTTATATAAAGTGAACTTCGTCCTTTTATTTGAGTCTTTCAAACATTTCTACACATTATTTCTATACGCCTACATTCATTCTATTTTCACATTTTGTATTCTAAGTCTTGATATTACTAATTAGAATTTCATGTTTTCATCACAGTTTTTCATACATTTCTACATATTATATTCGCACACCTACATTTATCTTATTACATTTTGTATACTAGATCTTGATACTACTACTTAGAACTTCATGTTTCCATCAGAGTTTTGCAAACATAATTTATATTATTTTCACACACCCCAATTCATTCTATTGTACTTTTACATTGTGTATACTTAATCTTGATATTAGTAATTAGAAGTTCATCTTTCCATCAGAGGTTTCTAAACATTTATACACATTATTTTCACACACCTACATTAATTCTATTGTACCTTTACATTTTGTTTATAGATCTTGATACTATTACTTAGAACTTCATGTTTCCATCAGAGTTTCGCAAACATTACTTCACATTGTTTTCACACACCTACATTCATTCTATTGACTTTTACATTTTGTATACTAAATCTTGATATTAGTAATTAGAACTTCACCTTTCCATCAAAGTTTTCTAAACATTTCTACACATTATTTTTACACACTTACATTCATTCTATTGTATCTTTACACTTTGTATACTATATCTTTATACTACTACTTAGAACTTCATGTTTCCATCAAAGTTTTCCAAACATTATTTTCACACACCTACAATCATTCTATTATACCTCTATACTTTGTATATTAGATTTTGATACTATTACTTAGAACTTCATGTTTCCATCAGTTTTCCAAACATTATTTTCACATACTCACATTCATTCTACTGGAGTTTTATATTATGTACACTAAATCTTGATATTAGTAATTAGAACCTTCCATCCGAGTTTTCATTCACACTCACATTTTGTATTCAAAATTTTTATATCAATAGTTATTTTTTTTTTACGAAGGTTATGTATCGTTTATGTATTTATTGGTTACCGTCCAAAATACATAAATTATGAACTACATGAATTAACTACATTTAACGTATTGAAACTCGATCAAATTCCAATTCTATTATTAATAACAAAACAACGACTATTTTATATAGAAATTAATTGTATTCCAACGTGAAATCAATCAATTTACTCACTATTTATGCGTGGGACTCGGTTCCGGCGAAACGTCCGCATTATCCGCATTCAGCTGGCTCAATGTTGGTAACGAAACGGTGCCCAAATGTTCTGAAAATAAACCAAAAACAAAATAATAATAATAACAAAATCAAATAATTAAAAAAAAATAAACACGCTCACTGCGTTAATTGCCAATTACTTTCCAAACACACACACACAGGATGTAAGTACCAATTTTTATTTAAGTTCGCCTCGGACAAAACGAACACACAAATAAATTGAATTGACCTTTTAAGCTTTTAAACATCAAAGTTAATTTGATTAAATGGCATGCACAAATCAATACCCTTCTCAGTATTTTCACCTGTGATGAAAATATTTTTTCGTTTAATTTACATTTGATTCGAAATTCATTGATTTATACTCTATAAATGTGGTAAAAAATCGCGTAATTTAAAAGTAAATACAAAGTGCTTTGAAATAAGTATAAATTACTTGATTTGATTTAACTTTTCGTAATTCCTAAATAGACAGACAAAAAAATGTAAAATATATTTGTAACAATACAAATTGTAATGCATATAGAATCCATGAATAGTTTTGATGAATTTACTGATTAGAAGTTGGTAATTTCTCTTTTCTGGACATTTTCCAGAAAATTAAGATACAATTAAAAAGGTGGTACAATGTACGTACCACCGCCCCTTAAAGAGCGCCATCTCGTGATGCAATAAATCAAAAATTAATATTATAAATAACAAAAATATCATATATTTCTTTAGAATACATAATTAAATAAAAAATAGTTGTTTTGATTTAAGCGCCATCTTGTGATTCAACAATTTAACATCATAAATAATAAACATTATAGAATATTTTTTTATTAAACATAATTACGTTGTTATTTCAGAAGAAACGCGGTGCAAATTAGTCTATTTGATTTAGACGCAATCAAAAACATAAAAAACAAAAATACCATATATTACACAATCTACTTCTAATTTTAGAAAAAAAAACTCGTTGCAAATATCTCGTTTTGAATTGAATGACTTTAAATTTATGAATTATATAGCAATGAGAAATAATTAAAATTTTCTTGTGTGAATTGATTTTAATAAATCATAGTTTTTGTTTTACTAACAACTGACACAAAATAAATAATAATATTTTTGGAACAAATTACCAAAATATAAACTTAACACAATATCATAGTAATAAAAAATAAACTAATTTAAATTGCTACAAAAGGCTATTTACCATTGATCTTTCTGCCCAACAAAATTTTATTAGTCTGAATTTCTTAAAAGAGAATTGTTGTATTTAAATCCAGTAAAATTTAGTATAATTCGATTAGAGCGCCATCTCGCAGGCATCCATTAACTATTTAATGAAATTTAACTTTACAGTTGTCAATAAAAAGTGTGTTGATTTCTAATTGATTTTTTTCGAACAATAATAATAACATTTATTACGACAATAAAAAACTACAAAGTAATACCTTAATAATTAAAAATAAAATTTCAATTGGAGCAAAGGGTTTTTTTGGAAATTATCAATGTGAAACTTTTAAATTGTATATTTGCACGGAGTTGTTTTTTTTTTTTCGATAACTGCAAAGCACGTGATTGAGTATCGTCGTTGAAATTTTCAATAGTTCAATAGACGCTCGAAAGTTATATCTATATTTTTTTCTATTCTCTCTTTAAAAAGAGAACCAAGTTAAACAATTTGCATATCATTTTTTATCGGTGGAATGTTATCTAATCGAAAGTTGATACGGCGGATCTCAACGATCGCGCATTTTCCTCATCGACCGTGAAAAACTTACCATTTTTGTAGGTTGGCAGCGTTGACGTGGCTGCATGGCAGACACCGGAAACGGAAGTTCCCCTCGTCAGTTTCGACGGCCTGCGAGCATCCAGCGAGCCCTGCAAATGTGTAAATAATATAAATAAAAGTATGAGGCGGGGGAGAACATAAAAGAGAGTGAGTGTACGAAATGAGTGGTGGAGAGGATGGTAATAAATTGAAAAGGGGAATCCCCACAAGAGCATTGAATAGCAGATTCACAGCGTTTTTTTTTCTTTTTACAGTGGCAACGCCGAACGTGCATAAATATGCAGTCGCGTGTGTGTATGTATGTATGTGCTTTGCGTTACGCAATCGTATAAAAAAAGTTTATGCCCGATCTTCTTTTTTTTATTAGCATTGCTCTGTTTGCGTATTGATCTGATAACAGGCCGTATCTTTATGATACATTGAGGATCGCGATTCTTATCAAATTGTATATATATATTTTGTATTTAGAGAAGTAATATAGTTGGAATGTTCATTTAAATATTTGCATTATTATAGAATGAAGCTCAAAACTTTACAGTTAAGATTTAATAACAAAAATGATATATGTATCAAGTTACATAAGGTTAAAACAATTAAACATAACAGAATAACTGTTATAAAGAAAATGTCATAAGTGTCAAATTCAACTAAACGATATTAATTTTATATAAATAATAAAGTAATATAAAAATAATCATTTCCTTATGATTAATTAACTTTGTTCTGAACTAATTGATGTGACGCACGATAATTATAAAATTTGCTTTTCATAAATCATCATGATTAATTGAGAACTAATCATATGTTTAAATGTAAGATTCAATTACTGTTGAATTAATGATATATTATATAAATGTCAAAGTGTTAATTGTCATCCATAGCATTAGTTTATTAATAGTTGTCACAACATGCACATTCGTTCTGGAAAAACGTTGACATTGCTCAACTGTCGTAAATATCAAATACAACACGAGATGCTTTTTTTTGTAACTTATTACCAACCTTGATTCATTAAGTCGAGCATAAACTATTTCCAAAACTTATTTTTTTTTTCACTTTAAATATAAGTCGATTACGAATTTGACAATGGTCAAACGTGTGATTCATACACAATTCTCGAATAAATCGGCCACCAGCCAAACCTGTTCCTATTTACATTTCACGCAGTCCACGGTTATTGTTTGATATTTATTTATTTTTAGAAAATATATCAACTTTCTGAGTTATATGATTAATTTTACATATAATACATATTGCACTTGACATCTTATTTATTCAAGTGAATAACACGTAAAAGCGATTTGTGCAAAATCAATAGAAATTTCATCAACGAATTACGTCACAATTGAAGTTGTACACGTAGTTCGGATAAATTAGTTTATAAAAAAAATAACAATTTAATCGCCATCTCGTGATTCAAGAAATTAACATTTACATTAACATCATAATTAATATAAACTATATAGATTTTGCGTTATAAACCATAATTACGTTGTTATTTCAGAATAAACCCGATGTAAATTAGTCGATTTGATTTAAGCTCCATCTCGTGAATGCTAATGGTTTAAATGTATAAAAAAAGTATAATTAACAAAAAAAAAAAAATATTTATTAGAGTGAATTTACATGTTCTTTAAAAACAATTTGTGCAAAATCAATAGAAATTTAATCAACGAATTACGTCACAATTGAAGTTGTAGACGTAGTTTGTGTTTGTTTATCGAAACTACGTATACAACTTCAATTAGTTTATAAAAAATTATACCAATTACAGTTTGGTTAAAAACATATTATGTGAATATGCTTGTGTATTTATTTTGTATATCCAAATGCATCCTTGACATTCTTAATTTCGAGTCTCACTCTTCTCATTGCAGAAATAAATGAATGCAACCACTTGATTCTGAGAATAATCTTACGTAATTATTAAATTAAACTATCCGGGTTCTTTTTACATAGGTTTTAATATATTGTTTAAAGTTATCTCTAATCAAATAATTTTAATAAACAATGATAACAATGCATATGATACATTATTTTACGCTAAATAATAATAATAAGGTTCTTTTATCAATAATCTATAAAATTTATCTTGTAGAGTGACGAAAAAAATACTAATTTATTTCATTTGATTATCAATGCAATTTGCATGTTACAAAAGCGAGAAAAAGGAAATTTTCTTGAATACTTATCTATGCAAGTCGCTCGCACAATTGTTATACAAACACGCTGTATGAATGACAAACTATTTTAAAAAAAGTAAATATTATGTTTTTCTATCTCATTGAGAAAGATTAATACACATATTTTATATACGTAGTTTACCAAAAATTAGTACAAACCGAAATTTTATCTAGAAACAAATTAAATAAGGTTCTTCCTTTAAACCTCCTCACTCTTCACTTAGCTTGTGTCAAGCACAATTTCAACAGCTACCGTCAATAAGGTTAGGAAAGATTAAGCATTGACAGCCGTCAAATTGTGATATAATTATATAAGAGTAGAAATGAAGATTGAAGAAGAAATGAATAGTTTGAATTGTTATTAGACGTGAATGATTCGAATATGTATTATGAATGCTATTCTATTTATAAATGGATTTGTAATACAGGTAACGTGATTAATACATAGTTTTCAATGAATAATTATTGTATATCGCCATGTTCGATAGTTCTTAATGGGCGGACTTTTATTATAAGGTTAGCTGAGGTTGACGTCGACAACTGTTAAAACTCATGGTTTATCAATTTATAGATTAGTATTAACATCACTCTATTTACCAGTTAGTTTCAAATACTTAAAAAAATAGAATTGAAAATTAATTGGAATTGTATAATAATCTGTGACATTTTACAGGATAACTTGATAAGTTAATTTTTGTTTAATTTTTATAGATTTGTTATTGTTGTATAGTGTAAATAACGACATTGTTTTTAGTATGTTTAAGAATTAAAAGCATTGGATCCACGTGTGAAATTCGGTTGTAATAATAGAGCATAACGTATCATATTCAAAGCTGTGAAGTGTAGACGCGTAGACTTACACTGACAACCATACTCTGAGTCCTCCAGATCTTGTTCCTGTCTTTCTCGTTGTCATTGTAACTGCAGTTGTTGAGCGCGTCGTAGTTGACAAAGCTGAGGTCGTTATAGGAGACGGCGTTATCTATCTCGACCAGAGACTGAAGACTCTGCGCCCATTCGCGATTCTTGTTCTCCGACAGCTTCTCCCTGGACTTGTCGATCTCGCGTTTCTTGTTGTAATCACGGAAACTGAAGGACCTCTTCAGAAACTGAGCGCCTTCGCTCAGGATTTTCTTCTTGAGAAACGAGGAGCTCCTTTTCAGCGGTTTATTGGAGATGTCGACGGCCGAAGCGTACATCCGCCCACCCTTCTTCAGCTTATCATCTTTTCTACCGAGGATCATCGACTTCAGCGATAGCTTATTCTTCTTGACCGGCTTCCTGGTGTTTTCGTTCTCGTCGACGTCCTCATCGTGCTCTTCAAGGGAGTACAGAGAGTCACGACGAGCGCCGCACTCGGACCTTGTATCATCGCAGATGAGTCTCTTGGTGAAGTCGCAGTAGAGGTTGTAAGCTTCCAAGCAGTCCGAGTCGCCGATTTCACTGCAGTTTGGGCCGAACCTCCTGCAGGTCGCCTCCACAGCTCCGTCGTCGCCGGTCATGGCCTTCCCCCGTTCAGTGCATCAAACCGACCTTGGCCAAGCGATAAATGCTATTTACTAATTTCTTTTCAACTAGCAAATAGTAATAAACGCGATAAACCGCTCGAGAAATACAGAGAGAGAGAGCAAAAAATAAAATAATTGGAAAGAAACGATAAAACGCGCTCGATTCACATCAACTTCACTTTCCTTCCATCGATCATCTAATAACACACACACATAACAATATGTATTTTTTTTTTTCAATTTATTACACAACCGCACATAAAATTTAACACTTCAAGAGATGACATCAGGAGACAAACTCACATTAACTTAGATTGATCCACACACCACAGCCACGCACGAACATAATACACGAATTTCCCGATTTGTGGATTTTTGATAAGCAAGGAACGCGCTCGTTGTGTACGGTTTTCGCGAGCGAACTGCTGAGCCCGAACGACCGAGCAAAACTGTGGCGACGTCCAAAAAAATAAAATTGGAATGGAACGTCTATATTCACATATCAAATTCGCTCAAAAAGCGAGTGAGATACGGACGGAGCGCGACAATCCAAATCGAAAACCAACTAACAACAAAAAGAGAATATTGACAATCAGCGATGCGCATTTGTTATTGTTGTCGTCGCGGCCACCTAGAGCATGTTTTTTTGTGGATGTGAGCGCTTCGATGATGATGATGTTGTCGCTACTGATTTCCTTCGCCTCGCGTTGCCGAAATATCATCGCACTCGACCTTACGGAAGGTTCGGTTCGGTCGGTGGGGCTCTGGCCCATCGCCAGAGCGCCGTGATTTGTTTCGACCAAAATTTTAATTTTGGACACGCGATATATAAATAATAAAACGCGCGCCGAGAAAACGGGAACCAACTGAAGGTAAAACGAAATTACAAAAATGTCCACTCGAACAGTTAAACTGCAGTGAAAATTAACTTAAACATCCAAGAAGCTACTGCAAACATATAACCTAAACAATCCGATATTCAGTTGCTATTTATCTTATTATAATTGATACAATAACACATTATGGTTATCGTTGAATTCGCAATTGTCACTAAGGACTAAATGACAGTTGTCTGTTATACTGTCGTACTAATTTATATGATAGAAATATTGTGTACATAACAACGCCTTCTATATTACTTAAGATATCAAGGACAATTTTGATGTACATTTTCTTGACACCATATGCTATTAAAAACTTGATAACAATTATTCTAGGTTATATAATATTCTTAATTATAATTAATTTTCCCCTCTAATATTAAGAACTCAATTAAAATTATCAAGTATTCTGATGTATTATTAAAAAAAATATTGACAGTTGTCAATGACATTTCTTCGGCGCTAAGGTTTATATGAAAGCTAATGATACTTTATTATATTACTTAAAACTGCAATGAAGTTTTTTTTGTAACTCCTAATTGAACCCGAAAATTGCATTTGTTAAACAAATAAAATATGATGAAACAAAGTAAATTCCAACTACTAAATTAATAATTAAACAGAAATGATCTCACTGTTTTGATGTGCTATATTTTGTGATATCATTTACTCCAAAATATACATATTTAATCCTATACATACAAGCATCGAATATATATGTAGACAAAATAACAAAATTAACAAACTGCGCGATTTTTTTTTGACGTGCTTTATCCATATAATTCCCTTGACAAATGCGCACAATTAAGGTTATCAGATAGCGGCTGACATGGAAATTTGTTTATCACTGATCTAACAAACGATCACATGCGAAACGGACGAAAGTATGAAAAATATGAATCTAGCAATTGGATCAATGACGAGATAAATTCGATAAATTTATAATTTTTTATTCGAATTGAATGATGATAGTTTGGGTGTGAAATAATTAATAAATTGAAATTGGAAATTTAAAAATTGTTCGTATTTTTGTGTACAATCATTATTGATCAATATCTTATCTCTAGGTTTTTTTCATTAAGTCATAAATGTAACATTGAATGGATGAAAATACCGATATCAATGAAATGCAACGACTCAAACGTCTAAGAGTGCAGAAATAATTTGACAGAGGCCAAGTTTAAACGATGTGTATGATTGTAATTGTTGTGTTTTAATATGAAATACTGGCCTTCAGTTGCAAAAATATTGTTGACAAAATATCTTTTTTTTAAATATCATTTGGTTGGGGAAATCGTACGAATACAATGGATAGAATTGGAGGAAATTCTACCTTGTGCTAATTTAACAGATTTCAAATTATTAGTTTATTGTATTTAGTTATATTGGATAGAGGTTATTGTTTACATATGTGATGATGATTAGGTAAATAAGTAGCTAACTGCATAATATAATAATGTGGCAGCTGTCAAAAACAGTTGTCAAATGTGAGGAGCGATATGTTTTTATTGCAGGACGGGGTGCAGTGGATTGAGGGTATTAAATGCGGTGTGTGCATAACCTAAAAAGCGGCGTTGTTTATCGTTCGGTCGGCGGGACATTTAATCCATCGTGATTTTCGAGCCTCTGTCTTCGTCCTTGATAGTAATGATCTTGTTACACGGCGCGGTGCACGAGCCGGGGGAGAAGATCGCGAGGAACGAGAAGCAAAAGCACCCCTCACGCTCTTTGAAGGGTGGCGGAGAAGGGATTTGGGTCACGGCAGGACTTGGTCCTTTTTTTTTTTCCATCGTTTCTCTCTAAAATCCTCCAAGACGTTGATTTTTGTACTGTAATTAATAGCAATCCGATGGCATTATGCAATTTCACTCGAAAACACCCCCTCCGGCCCCTGCTTCGACAAATGGCCGTCATTAGGAAAAGTGCCGAGTATTGCATAACACGCACACAGATACGCAACCCCACCGACAACACCCACTCGCCCCCTCGGCAAACACCCTTCTCATCCCATCAATTTTGTTTGTTTTTACCCCAAGCTCCGCCCATCGTCTAAATTTAGACTACTGCGATTTAATTATTTCGTAGACAAACTTAGTTATGTACAAGATTATTACCGCGCATAACCAACCCTCGGTGCAAAAGGGAAACGACCCTAAGAACCAGATTCGCCCGAAAAGTATATTACCGCGTGTCCTCTAATTGGATCCCTTCGAAACATCAACAAATTAAACAGTCGCATTACCATCAGAATTACGAAAAGACCACAAATTAAAAATCGCTCTCATTATTAATAATCTTATTATAAAATTCTCGCATCATTTTTCCCAGATTAAAATTGAAGTCATAGAACGAAATCATTTACAATCATTAGAATACATTTTAAGAATTATAATATATAAATCTTATCATTTTCTACAAAATTCAATGAAATTACACATGCGTCAATGTTAAGCTTTAAAACTATATACAAATTTGAAGCGTAATGGAAACAATAAGATATAATAACCGATTTCAGAATGACGTTATCGCTCCGTTTGCATCACGGCTTTATTAATCGAATTGTTTTCTAGCAACAATACACAATCGATAGGAAGCAAATACGGTTTTTCCTTCCGATTTCGGTCCTTCCCGGTCACTTTTATTTACATTTCAGCGCGGTGAGTCACTATGACAAAACGCCATTATCTGAAAATACACCGACCACAAAACGATCGATAATTTCCGTGATTCAAATCTCCTTTCTTCTTTCTGCTTATTTTTTTTTTTGCAGTGCTCTTTCGGTTTTTTCGCGTTGACAAACGTCGTCGCCGACGCAAATAGTAACCAAACGTGTTCCGCGCTATTTTTAGAGACAGATGTAATAATTATGTATAAGCAACAAAATGAAGCAAAAAAAAGAACGGTGAGCGAAAATAAAATAACGCGGAAAGTAATAAACAAGAAACGGCTATTAACAGGAACGACTTTTGAATGTCAGATAACGAGAGTGCGAATGGACGGGAGATAACGACGGTATAAGAACTGAAAAATGGCGTTTTACATAAGGCCGATTACGTCCGTTATAAATAGAATCTTGTCTTCCATATATATAAGTATACATTTGGAAGTTGTCAAATAAAATACGGTTGTCTAAATTTTAAAATAAAATGATAATCAGTTAATAATATATAAGGGATACGATATATAAGGGTGTTATCCTGACGTGACGTGACAATGTATAAATGTCACGAAACGTAACACACAAAATAAGGCCGTAATCAAATATTTTAAGATGAAGCAATAAACACATTTTACAATACTTGATAATTATTATCTTTTATGTTATTTAACTTAAATTTCTAGACCCAACAAATCTTTAGACAACTGAATAAGACAACTTCGTCAACCGAATTAACCAAATTAAATGGCAATTCTTCTTTCCTGTACATTTTCTAGAAAATTTAAAATCGTTTTAGAGAGAAATGTAAAAAATATGAAAAATATAAAGCGATTTTTTATATTAAATAATATACAATGTGTGAGATATTGCGTAAATGCAGTTTTAAAGTTATTCTACGCTAGCCATTTAATTATAAGTGCAACCAACTTTGAAACCGATCAGATTTTGTAAACAATGAATGGAATGCATGCAACCAAGTACATCGATATGCATGAGTTGCAAACAAAAGCCAGCGACGAATGTAAACGGATACTGTGGATGCGGGGTTGTAAACTGTTTTACGGGTATTGCGAGCAGTAAATGCAAACATCTGAACAGGTTCGCCGCTCGTTATGCCAAATCGTTGTCGTTTTATTGGCGCGAAGCGGATGGAAATTAAACGGAAGATGTATTTTCTTCCCTTTTCTCCAACCTTCTTCTTTCCATCTCTTTCCCTCTTCTCCTTCGAACATCTTTCCTCGTATATCCTTCTCATCCTCGGCCGTCGTCGATCCGGTGTGTCCGGGTGAAAATTTATGGACTACGACGGCAAATTGGAACCGGCAAAAGTTGTGTAAATAAATGCAATTCGCGTAGTCCCGCACTTCGCTCGATTTGCAACGAGACAATGACAAGAGAAATTGTCTTTTTTCTCTCCGCCCCACCGCCGTAAATTCCCATTCCCGCTCGTAATACCGCTAATTCAATTGTTGGCGTTACGTAACAATAGAAATGCGAGTAACTACGGTCTAGCAACGAAAAGAGAAAGATCTCAATTTTAACACCAACTACTCCGCAATTACTCGTAAGATAATCTTATTATTAAGTTCTTTCGAAATATTATAAGAACTACATTTTAGTCAAGAAAGCGTATAGAACAATCTATATCAGTGATTCCCAAAGTGGTCTATATCGACCACCAGGGGTCTACGTCAACAAAAAAAAAATGGGGCTCCATGAAATGAAAATGGGGGTCCGCGATAGTGGACACTGATAGTACCTATTTATTTACATTATACTATCTTATAATATAAAGACATATACATTATTTATAAAAGTACCTATGAAGTAAAAAAAATATTATATATGTTTATAAAATTGTGTAATTTGTAGGATCTAGGCATTCGCTTTGTGGTCGCAATACATTTTGAACTTGTAAAAACCTGCACATAATGATATACCAGTATCATCTTGTTACAAGTATACGCGCTCTCTCAGAGCAAAGATCTTAATAATTATAAAGATGTCCCAATATAAATAATAAATTTACATAAAATCAATATCAGGTAAGTCTACCCAAAACCGAAAAACATGGCAAGGGGTCTACGACACAAAAAAGTTTGGGAACCTCTGATCTATATGCTCGAAATTATTTGTCAATTATAGATATTTCGAATTATCAGT